TTCCAGGCCCAGAAGGTGGAAGAGATCTGTAACTCTTAGACAGTAGCCAAACCCACCGCCCTGCTGGGTGTCTCCCTCCTCCAGCCCACCTCCAGCAGCTGCTCCCAGAGAGGAGAATGTCCTGTGCTCTCAGGAAAGACCAAGAAGAGTAACAACCCTGCAGCTGGTCACACGCAGCCGAGACAGCTAACTTCCCCTCTGCCTGACCCTGCAAGAGGGGCCGTGTCCCTTGACTCCTTCATATGTGCGTGAGATTAATAGGATGTTTGTGCTTCTGTGGGGATAGAGGGGAGGTCCTGGTCACATGGTGTGGGTGTATGTTCCTGTGCTCTGTGTGGATGGGTCAGCTGAGTATGTGTCCCTTTCTGGGCACCCGGGTAGCACTATGCTGTACTGGACAGAGGCCCAGAAGCTCATCCTTTAAGCCCTGAGTCTCTGTGACAGTGGATCCAGAGCTCACCTGGCCCTTGGGATCATCATTCCACTGCCCAGATGAGGAAGCTAAAGTTCAGAAAGGGGCAGAGTCCAGCCCAGGGATCCACAGGTACGAGGAAAGAAGCTGGACTTGAACCTGGGACGTCTGACTATGTACAGCAGAGATGGCAAACCCGGTTCCTAGCTCCCCAGTCGCTCTTCTTCACTTGGAAGGACGAGAGTCCCTGGGGTCCTCCCCTGATTTTCCCTACCTCTGGCAGCCATGCCCACCCCGGCTCCCCTGCCCCTCCCGGCCCTGCAGAGTCCCGGCTGCGCCTGCCTGAGACCTGGCCTAGAAAAATCTGGCACTCATGCTCCCTTCACCCTGCCTAGAGCCAGCTGCTCACCTGGCACCGCTCACCCAGGTGCTCCCACGCCAAGTGCCAAGTCAGCTTGGGTGGGAGGGAAGGGAGCAGAGGAGAAGCGCTAGGCCCCAGGAAGAGCCCAGGACTCTGCAAGCCCAGGAGGGGGTGTGCAGAAAGCAGCGGGTACCGAGACTCCAACAGCAAGGCATCTTCTGAGCGGGGGCCAAACTCCCCTGGGCCTGCCCCAGCAGGGAGGACAGGCCTGTACCAGAGCCCAGCACCGGGGGCTGCACCCCCCCTCCACCCATCCCCAAACCTCAGAGCCGCCCACCCGGCCCTGGACAGGGGCCTGGAAATTCAGTACTGCAGACTCATCAGATTTTCCAGGCTGTGTTTGTGTGCGTGTGTGCATGTGTGCATGTGTGTGTGTGTGTGTGTGTGTGTGTGTGTGTACATATGCACACGTGTGTTCTTTCAGAAGAGGTGGGGGTGGGGGCCTAGCAACTAGGGAAGCTGACGAGAAAGGGGAAAGGTCCCTGTCCCGCTTTGGCCAAGAGGTGGGGCAACCCCTTACCCTGGTCCTTTCCCCATCTCACCTCACCTGGTGCCACCTTACTCTGTTCTTTTAGCAGAGTCCCGATCAGCAGCCACAAACAGGAGAGATGGTGGGGTGGAAACATCCTAATTCAGAATCTAAGGAGATAGAGCAGGACATGGGGGGGGGTCCCAAAGTCCCCACCAAAGAGAGGCCCGTTGGGGACAGCCCTGACTCTGAAGCTAGAGAGAACCTTGAGAAGGCACTTTACCACAGTAGGCCCAGCTTCCAGCCCCCAACCCAGCCAGGGGCAGCTTTGGGAAGGGAGGGGGGCTCCAGAGAGAGTACAGAAAGTTTCTGACAGATAAGAATCAGCACCGCCTACCCCCAAGACCAAGCCTCTCCATTCAGCAAAAAAGAACCACAGGGCTGTACCTCTTCCCCAGCAGCCACCCCCACAGACAAACCCACATCCTCTCCCTAGAGAACCCCGAGGGTCCTCCCAAGGTCTCCAGGCACCTTACCGGTTCATTCTGGAAAGCGTCAGTCAAGAGGCAGAAGAGGGCCAGTGGCAGGTCCTGCTGTCTGGGCTCCCCAATGTGAATTGGCCTTGTCTCTCCCTGCAGCTGTCCCAGGCAGCTCTTCCGGCCCCTCCTCTGCTCTCCCACAACCCGAAGCCAGGCCTTGGGCATCCCCCACGCTGGAGAAAGATAATCACCAGGCAGGAGAGGACAAGTCGCCCACTGTCCCTCCCACGTTCTGGGGAAGGTCGCCGGGGAAGGGGGAGGCCTAGGTGCAGCTGTGGAGAGACAGCAGGGGCTGGGGGCCTGGGCAGGGGTGTGCCCCAACAGTGTGTGTTCAAGTGTGCACACGTGTACCAGGAGGGAGCTCACGCCTGTCTGAATGGACACACGAGGGGGTGTTCAGAAACAACACCCAGGGGGAGGCCGACAGGAGGGCCCCTGGGAGGAAAGGGCCACGCTGCAGAGCAGATGTCCATTTCTCTGACTCTGAGCTTGGAGACAGGGAGGAACTTTCCTCTGCCCTAACGTTCTCCTGCTAGGGTCCCAGCGACAGGAGAGGAATTGGGGTCTTTCCTGGAACTCCCAGCAGGCTGGCCCTGCTTTCCTCCATGCTGAGCTGGTCCTCTCAGCCAGGACTGAAGGGTATGGAAAAGTCCCCTGTATCAGCAGGGCACTCACAAGGTAGCAAGAGGGAAACGGGGTTGGAGTGGGCGATGGCATTTGAGGTGGATGGCACAGAGGGACAGCCTGGGACATGCCCTGTGGGCCTCCCTGGAGGCTAGCCCAGGGGGCCACCCAGCACTCCTCTGCCCCACTCACCCTGTGTCTGGTGTATCCCTGCCTCCTGCTCCAAGACCTCCTTGTCTGTCTCCCCAGCGCCCCAGGACAAGCCTGGGCCCGCCGAGTCAGGGCAGAACAAGTCGGCTTCCTCAGGAAGAGCCACCTAGGATCCAAGGGCTTGTCCAGAGAGGAGCTAGTAGGGCAGCTAAGGAGAGCAGCAGGACAGGTGTGAGGCCCAGCAGTCCTGGCCCCCAGCAGCTGACCCTTCCCCAAGATGCCCCCTTGGATTTTACAGAGCAGGGGTTTCTGGGAGTTGCTGGTGTATCCCCGTCCCCCAGGGGCTCTCTCTCACACGGAGCATGGGAGTCATGGTTCACAGCCCCAGGAATCAGGAGTGACTGGAGGAGACAGACTGGAGAGCCAAGTGGTAACTGTGTGTGCAGCCAGACAGACCACAAGTCTCAGATGGGAAGAGACACGTGTCCTCGCCCTGCATCAGCCCCTCCCCAGCCTGGCCCGAGAGCCTGGCCAGTTCCTCCCTGTCCTCTCTGGCTGCTATGAGCGACTCCCTGCAGAGCCTCCCCTGAGCTGCCTTCTCCCTGGAGGATGTAAGGCTGGTGAGGGGCAAGGCGTAGCCTCCATGGCCTCCCCCACGCAGCTCTCCCCCACCCAGTGTGGCTCCCTGGCCCACTTCCCTCACCAGCTTCTCTTGCTTCTGCTGACTCCTGAGCTCTCCTGTGAACAAAAGCACTTCACAGGTCTCACTTCATCTGCCCACATGGGGTTATTATCCCTATTATCATCCCCCTGGGGAGGGAGGAAGCTGAGGAGGAGTCGGAGACACAGGGAGCCTTAGTAACTTGCCCAAGGTCACACAGCACTGGGCCATAGTTTACTCATGACATGCAGGTCTTCCAGCTCCCAGCTATTAGTATACATATTCTCCAGAGCAGAAGGTAGCTGGAAACTCAATCCCAACCCAGGAGAACAAATAAGAAGTTTCAGTGATGAAATTTGGAAAGCCACCCGGGAGAGCTCCACCCCAGGCATGGGAAGGTCTGCAGTGAAGACAGAGTCACTTCAGGAGCCTCAAGATGGGGCAAAGCTCACACTGGGGAGGGGGGTGCAGAAGGTGGACTAGGCTCCAAGGTCAGGCTGGGAGGGGCTGGGGAAGCATCTTGTCCATCAGAGGCTTGTGGTTGGGTCTCGAGCCACATGCTCCATGGATGTCCAGGTGTTTCTAAGTAAAGAGGGAGACAGGGAGTGGGTAGGAGGCCAGAAGTGATTCTGCCCTCCACCTCCCAAAGGAAACTGGGAGAGCCCGGGGGTCTTGCTCAATGTCCACAATTACACCCACCCCTAGTATCAACCCCCTTCCTCATCTCCAGGCTCCTGGCTTCCTTGAAACACTTGGACCTCTGCCGGCCCTAGCCTCTGAGGGGTCAGGGGTGTGCTCAGAGCCAACAGGGCTCAGGCATGGAAACCCGGGGGCACTGGGCAAGTGGAGGGGAGACTTGGCCCACTTCCTCCTCCCCCACCCCTGTGGTATCCTAGCTTCCTGTTCTTGATCATAATCAACAGTCGGCCCAAAGTGGGGGCCCTCTTTCCAATCCCCTCCTGCCCCCTCCTTTACTCCAGGGCCCACACCACTGTCCAGCAGAAACACTGACCCACATGGGGAGGTCAAGGCAGAGGCCAGATCATTGCCCACAGCGACCTAGGGATTCCCAGGCTCCTGCTCCTGCCACCTCACGCTGACCCTGCAGCCAAATACTTCCCAGCTCCACCTAGCCCCCTTCCTTGGGCGACCCCCCCACCTCATTCTTAGAGGAACACCAACTACAGGGAAGATGGACCCAGGATCAGTTAGCCAAGGAGAGGCTCAGGAAAGAGTCTTCACCTCCCAAGGGCAAAGGAAGGTAGCAGGAGGCCTCCTGAGCCCAGAGGGTCACTCTTGTTCTTCACCTCAAACGTTCTCCTGCGAGGGTCAGCTGAAGCCCCCTGCCGCCCCCTGTGTGCCCTCCCCTGTGCCATGGTACATCATGTCTTCTTTGCTGTCACCGTTTGACAGCTGAATCAGAGAAGTGGGAGGAAGAGAGGGAATGCGGAGGGAGCGTGCTGGGGCCAGGAAGGATGTTGGGAATGTTACAAGGTCTAAGGAGACGCAGCAGCATGAACCGCGGGGCGGCTGGGCTGCAGGCCGCCAGGGGCCGACCAGAGGAGCCAGGCAGGGGCGGAGGGCCCTGGCATCTTGGACTTGGGGGCTGCTCCCCAAGCCCCAGGCACGCAGGTGCCCCAGTCGTGAAGAGGACATGGGAGTCCCCTGGCAGGAGGGCCAGAGCCTGTCGACAATTCGTAAGTCTTCTGAGAGGATGTCAGGTTCTGGGAGGAGGCCCAGAGGGGGCAGGGGACCTGGGGGAAGCCCCAGACTCTCCGCCAGCTCAGCTCTACTGTCCACTCCCCGGGTGGCTGGCCTCTGTGCAGGCCAAGGGAGCGGAGAGCTGTGCAGGGCTCGGAGCCTGAGGAAGCCCTCTCTGGCCCGGCCAGGGGCCCTCCTTTCCCACAGGCAGCAAGGACGCCTGCCCCCTGCTTCCCACCCCAGGTCTGCACCACATCTGCTCTAGGAAGCTGCAGCCTGTTCTTGCCATGAGGTTCCAAGGCAAGAAACAGCAAGGGCTTCCAGGGAGAGGGCCCCTGGGCAGAGGCACAGGAGTGGAAATAAGTCTCTGGCATGGTCAGGTGGACCAGGAGCCCCCTGGGGTTCTTTGTGAGATGGCATGGAGCAGGGGCCAGCTGAGCTCTGCCCAGAGCGCAGACAGAAATGGGACGTGACAAGGACCCACAGGAGCAGTGTGGCAGGAGGGAAGAGGGTTTAGGAGCCAGAGGGATCTGGTGCTCAAGGAAGGCCCAGCCCCTCACCTGTTCCTGGGAACCGGACCTTGGCCCCTGGCAAAGGGGCCAAGACATCGCACGAAGCCTCTAGGGGCACAGGCAGGAGGCACCGACCCCTGGTGGCAGCTGCACAGGCGCGGGAGGGCGGCACGAGCAAGCCGGGGTGTGCGTGGGTGGAAGCGAGGAGGGGCCGAGGGAGGAAACTGGCTTCCTGAATCCTTCTCAGTCCTCAAAGACAGACCGACAGACAGATAGACAGCTGGCAAGAGGCAGCCTGGGGAACACAGCTGCTTCAGTAAGTACCTGAAGCAGGGAGCAGGAGTCCTGTGCCCCAGGGTGGGGACAGCCCGGGGAAGGGGGTGTGTGGGAGGGCGAGTGGGCCCTCGGTGCCGGCCGGGGAGTGGGTGTCCAGACACCTGATGTCCCTGAAGCCAGGAGGGCAGGGAGGCCACAGGGAGCGCAGAGAACTGAGTGAAAGGGCCCCTCCTGCTGCAGGAGAAGCCCTCTCCACCACCCGCACCTGCAAGGGCCCAGCTGTCCCCTCACCTCCATCCCCGTGGGCTTAGCAACTTAGACCCTGCTGTCTCAGCACCTGAGACCCTGGCTCTGGGAGATGGGGACGGCCCTCCAGCAGAGGTGGCTTCATCACCTCCATGCCCCCCGCTCATGCCCCTAGCTGTCGCCTCACCATGCACTGTCGCTCAAGGGCTTGGTGAGGCCATTTCCTGTGACGGTTACAGAGGCGGGAGATGGGGGAAGGGCAGGAGGAGGAAGGAAACACCCCCAGGCTAACCTCCCTGGACGGGGACCCCAGAAGCCAGAAATTATCTTGGGAGTGGACCTATCAGCGGTTTGGAGAGGACCATGTGCGGGGCCAGCAGCCCGGTGGGTCTGGGTCTCCGACGGTCTCCAACACTGCCAGAGGCGTGCGCTTTCTCACTCAGGAGCAGCCCCACTGGTTAGAGTCAGGGGTGGCTTCGGAGAGCTTTGTCCCTTCCTTCTGTGTGGTTCCCACCATTGGCCTTTCTCCCTGGCCTCCTCTCACCGGGACCCCAGCTTAGAGCCCTGTGCGCTTTGGTCTCCCTCCTTCTTCTCCCTCTGGATTCTCTCCTATCTTCATCCAGGACTCCACCCTTTATCTTTTCCTTACTCCAACCTCAGTCAGCCTGTGGCCTGTGGCCTGTGCCCTGGATCCCACCAAAGAGATCCTGTCCTCGGGGTGAAAATGAGGCCACCTCTTGAGGAACAGGGCTGGGGAGCCTCCTTCTGGCCAGACAGGCTGAGGCCAGCAGCTGCAGGGCCTTGTCTTCCAGGCAGACGTCATGGCCATGGCCGAGTGAGCCTCCCTGGGGCCAGTGCCCCACCCCAGCATGGTCCAGGCCCGTGGGGGGCGCTCCAGAGCACTGCGGCCGACCTCATCTTTAGGGGCAGCCAAGATGACCCAACCTCCACCTGCCAAAGCACCAGCCAAGAAGCATGTGCGGCTACAGGAGAGGTGAGATCTTCCCTGCAGATCTTCGTTTGCCCCTCCAGTTCTGATAGTTGAGTCCAGAGACCCTCTACTTTGGACTCCAATCTGGAAAGAAAACCCGATCGTACTAATTTGCATATCCTTTGCATGTTCTTTGTGTTTCTGGGGCACAGAGTTTCATGTCAACCCTGAGCCTGCACCCTAAATCCTGGATTTGGCTGGCTGTCCCTGGGGAGAGGTTGCGTGTAGGTGTGAGCCTGGGGGCCAGGTTGAGAAGGAGAAGAGGTAGCAGCGGGGAAGAGCAGTTGTTTCCATGTTCCCTTATCTGGCTGACAAAGGGACAAAAGCATGCAGCAGGGCCCTGAACCCTCGAATGCACTAGGCCTCTGGAGCACTGACGAGGAGCCGCCTCCTCAAATGTACCCTATACCATAATAACTGTAACGTAAGCGGTTTTTATTGGGTGCTCGTTAGGCGGGGCTCCAATGTGGCTCTGATGCTGGATGTGCGCTCCCTGGGCACCGTGGAGCCCATCTGCTCGGTGAACACACCCCGGGAGGTCACCCTACACTTTCTGCGCACAGCTGGACACCCGCTGACCTGCTGGGCCCTGCAGCACCAGCCACCCAGCCCCAAGCAACTGGAGGAGGAATTCTTGGTAAGAACTTGGGGGTCCCTTCTGCATCAGTCTGTCCTCTGCTTTAGAGGTGGTCAGCTGGCCTCAGTCCATCATGGACACCCTGGACACTCTTTGCACCCTGGGGGCTCAGGAAAGGAGGTTGCCCCCATGTCTCCTCTTTTACTTTCCACTCTAGCCTGCTAAGAAGGGATGGCCAGGGTCCAGCACTAGGAGGAAAGGGAGGAAGGGGAGAAAAGCATGCTGGGAAAGGGAGCAGCTGTTCACTCATTTCTTCCCCTGCCAGAAGATCCCTTCAAACTTCGTCAATCCTGAAGACCTGGATATCCCTGGTCATGCCTCCAAGGACCGGTACAAGACCATCTTGCCAAGTAAGAGCGGCAGTGGGGATGGAGGGAGGTGGGCACTCTGCCCAGGACTGGCAAGCTTCAGAAGGCAAGATGCACAGCCTGGGTGAAGGAAGGACAAGAGAACTTGGGACATCTTCTTTCCCTGATGAGGGAAAGAAGGGGCAATAATCACAGCAGCAGCAGCAGCGATGATGAAGTTTGCAAATGCCTACTTGCGGGCCAGGTACTGCCCTCCACCCTTTTGGTTCATTCATTTCTCCCAGCGTCCCTGTGAAGCTGGCATGATGGTATTAGTATGCCCATTTTGCAAATGAGGAAACCGAGGGACAGAGGATTGCATAGCTTGCCCAAGGTCACACAGCACCCTGTACCAAAACTTCCTCATCTTCCTCCCATGTAGGGAGGCTTCCCAGCAGCAGAGGCTTCTGGGAGGACGCCCCAAGACATAGAGGGCTTTGAGAAACACACATGGAGCAGGACAGAGAGATTGCTGGGCAGGTTGGGATGGGGGCCACTGGGCTGACAAGCCAGGGCTAGCACCTGCCGCTCTGCAGAGGCCTCGGAGCCTCTCCCCGGAGAGCAGCCCCATCAGGCTGCCCCCTGCAGTGACTCCACACTGGAGTTACCTCCTGCTGGTACTCCCTTCCTCCTCCTGCGCCTCTGCCAGCTGAGATGGGTTCAGAGGCTGGGAGTGCTCCGCCAAGTGGAGAGGGGGTAAGTTTAGTCCTTTCCTAATTCTGACCAGCCCTGCAGCCACCAGAGAGGGGACAGTCCCCTTGCCTGAGATTTCCCTGGCCTCTGGGCCTCCTCTGTTCATAGCCAGGCTAGCTCTGGAGGGGAGTATCCCCTCACCTTTCCTCACAGACCTGCTTCTTTATCCTGGTTTGGATTTGATTTGGAGAAATCCCGTCCCCTAGAGGAGAAACCACAGGATCTAGTAGCTGAATGAAATCTGAGTCCGAGTCGCACTTAACCACCAAGTCATCTTGGGCAAGTCACTCCTCTGGACCCCATATCCATCACTGGAAAGACACTCCTTCTCTTCAGCACTTCTTTTTCCAATTTTACTTGTATTTTCCTGTTCTGCACCCTCACTGATCTCCAGAGTAGATCGTTACAAGAACTTCCTGTGTGATCTTTGCAGGCTCCGTGCCCTTTCCTCTCTAGTCTATCCCACACAGTACCACTCAGTTAGCCTTCCCAAGTTATGGCTGGAAATTGATATCAATCTCCTGCTCAAAATTATTCTGTGGCTGCCTATTATCTACATATAAAATAATCCAGTGGGCATTGGGCTACTTGCTATATACAAAGGACTGTGACAGTCACAAGTCTTTTCTCTGAGTCAGTTAGAGTCTGTATTAGTTGGTCACCTTTTGACCTCTGACCACCACTGATTTTTACTTCCTAGATCCTCAGAGCCGTGTCTGTCTCGGTCGGGTGCAGAGCCAGGAGGATGGAGATTACATCAACGCCAACTACATCCGAGTGAGTAGCCAGGCTGCAGTACGGGGGCAACGGGAGTGTGATGGGATTGTGTTTGAAGATGTCAGATGGTATCTCCCAGCTGTGGCTGGTAGGTCAGGGGCGTTGATGTCCCTGCCTGCTCTGACTCATTGCTGTCGTAGCCCTGCCAGGCTGGATGGACACTAAACAGACCCAAAGTCACCAACCTAGAAAACATGCTAAAATTTTTCTGAAAAGAAGAGATGCCAAATTTCCTTAAACCACCTTATCACCCTGTGTATGTCAAGTCTCTAAACCTGCAGGAAAATGAGCATTGCTGAACCTAGCCATTAGCTTCTTAAAGGCTAATGACTCCTGAGATCTTCGTGGGAGAGACCAATACAAATAGTAACACCCCCCGCCCCCCACCACCAACGGCCCAGGCTCCCCCCAGATCTTCATGGGAAAGCCCAATGCAAATACGGAAGAACCCCCACTCCTGTGCTTTTCCCAAACATCCCTTCCTTTGTGGAAATGGTTGGATTAATGTCCAGCTAATAGGAACCTAAAAGCAAGGTGGGCTCTCTACCCCAACTTCTCACCTCTGTCCACCCTAAGAAGAAATAAAAGCAGCTCCCTCTAGTGGCCAACATGGATATGACAGCAGTTGAGGCTGCAGGCAGAATAGCTGTTGTCAGGAAAGCAGTGTGGATCCAAGGTCTTCCACTAGTCAGGCAAAACTAGCAGAACAGTGGGCTGGATTTCACCATCATCTTGAGGAACAGGAAACTGAGGATCCTGAAGGGGACAGAGACAGGCCTGGGAGAGGGTGCTGCATTTCACTGCTAAATATATAAGAGTGATATATAAAAGTGAAACATTAATTCACAATCAATGAACAATTTTGGTATTTTGTGCTAGAAGAAAGCAGCAAGGGAGGAAGGGAACAATCTTTTATATAGCACCCATTATATGCCAGACTCTCAGTATATTGTATCAACTTTAATCCACACTACGTTCCTGCAAGACAGATATCAGTATGCCCAGTTTACAGATAGGAAGCTGGGACTTACAGAAGCTAGGTAACTTGCTTATAATAGCATAACTAGGAAACATCAGAACAGGGATTTGAACTCACATGTTCCTCACTCCAGAACCCATGTCCTGGGCTGAGGATGTGGCTCAGTGGTAGAGCACTTGTCTAGCCTGTACCAGGCCCTGGGTTCAATTAAAAAACAACATCATCAACAAAAAGACCTTGTCCTTTCCACCCTGTGGCTTCTGAGAGTGTGTGTGCTTGCACACATGCGTGTGTTCACTGGCTTCAGCCTGATCCAGCACCTGCAGAGCCTGGGCTTTCCCTGGCACTCGGATCTCACTGCCTCCCTGTGCTCCCACCTCCCCAGGGCTACGATGGGCAGGAGAAGGTCTATATCGCGACCCAGGGTCCCATGCCCAACACCGTGTCAGACTTCTGGGAGATGGTGTGGCAAGAAGAAGTGTGCCTTATTGTCATGCTCACTCAGCTCCGAGAGGGCAAGGAGGTAGGCGGCAGAGCCACAGTCCTTGGTGAACCCCCAAAAGGACTACATCCTGCCCCAACACACTCACACACCCCCATGCAGGCACTTGGCACCACAGGCTCCCTGGGAGCTGAGAACACTGACAGGCAACCCTGGCTCTTGTCTGAGCCATTCTCCAGGTAGTGGGATCTTGGCCAAAATATGAGATGGGACTACTTGGCCTGCGGGGTCAAACTCAGGAGAGCCAAGTCCCAGTTGCTGACCTCCCCAGAGGAGATGGGATATGCAGGGTGATACCAGCCCCCTCAGAGCTTCCCCAATCCCTGCTGCAGCTGATAGACACCCCCCTTCTGACTCCCAGCTCCCTCCCTTCTAGAAATGTGTTCACTACTGGCCCACAAAAGAGGAAACCTATGGACCCTTCCAGATAAGCATCCAGGATACCAAAGAGTGCCCAGAATACACTGTGCGGCAGCTCACCATCCAGGTACCACCCCAGGGACCAGGGAAGTTGGACCACCCCCAGCATCTCTGGGCCTCAGGCCCAACCTTCTCTGGGAGCCAAGCTTACTCATCCAAACCTTGAGCCCACATCTGAAAGAGGCGTTTGATCCACAGAAGAGAGACTTGGGCACTGACCTCAGGGAGCCTCTAGTCTAAGAGCTCAGAGGGAACAAATCATATAGGAATGGACAGGAAGCCACTCCACCCCTGCTGAGTGGTCCAGCAAGGAGAGGAAGGATCCAGAGTGCGCTGAAGGAATGAGAGGAGGTTGGAAGAGATGTGTAACAGTCCACGTGAAAGTGCTTTAGAAAGGTTTTCTGTGATTGCATAGTGTTTTGCGTTTTTCAAAACATTTCTGTGTTGATTCATTATTTTCCAAGCAGCCCAGGAAATAAACCAATATATCACCGTTCCCACTTTCTAGGCAAAGAAAACGGGGTTATGTGCTAGTCAGAGGCAGAGTCAAAATTTGAACTTGGGTCTTTCCCTGTCCCAGGACGATGCTCCTTCACTGGAGTTTGGCGGGGCGGGATGATGAGCCGGAAGAGTTAGCTCTGTCCGCTCTGAGCTGAAGACTCCCCCACAGGGTTATTGTAGCCCCTGCCCTCCTCTAATGCCACAGAAGGTGGGCAGTGCCCCTCACCCGGCCCCCATCCTTATGCCTTGTCTCTATCCCAGCACCAGGAGGAACGCCGGTCAGTTAAACACATCCTCTTCTCAGCCTGGCCTGACCACCAGACGCCGGAATCAGCCGGGCCTCTGCTGCGCCTGGTGGCTGAGGTGGAGGACAGCCCAGAGACAGCTGCCAACACTGGGCCCATCGTGGTCCACTGCAGGTGGGGGACCGCTGCTTCCACCGTGGCCTGGATCCCATGCTCCCCTCCCTCCCACTGGGTCTGGGAAGGGGTCGGAGCAGAACAGCATCAGGCAAGCCTAGTTCTTACTTGGACAGGAATCTGTGTCACTCAGCAAGTGTTCTGCTCTTACTATCTCCTTCCCGCAGAACCCAGACATCTCTGCGTACCCAGGCACAATGCAGAGAGGCGTCAGAATATCGGGAAGCTCCTAGTTGGCTATTAAAAGGAAACATGTACAATCCCTGCTGTTAGGGGATCATTCAACATGTGTTTATCGAAAACCTCTTATTGTCAGGCACAATGTTAGACTCTAAGAAGGCAACAGTAACCGAAATATTTTATTTTGAAGCATGGTCTCCTAAGGGTCTTCCCTGACAGTTTTAGGGCCTGGTGGGAATGATGGCAGATTGAACAACTAAATTCAACATCATGCTGTGAGAGCTGTGATGGGCAGCGCAGAGTCAGGTTGCCTAACTCAGACTTTAACCAGAGGTTTTCCAAGAGGAAGGACAGCTAAGCTACTCTAGGACCTGTAAGGGAATTGATCAAGTGAGAAGGGACAGGAGAAGCATTCCAAGCAGACGGAACAACACATGCAAAGGCAGAGAGAAAAAATTTAAAACTTGGTCCATTACTGGCTGCAGGGTGGGAGGGTGAGAGGGTGGGCCATTACGTGTGGGAATAATGATGGGAGATGATTCCAGAAGGCAAGTGAAGGCCACGTGAAGAGCAGCCTTAGAGGGCTGACTAAGACACTTGGGTTTATTTTATTGTTTATTTATTTAGGTGCCAAGGTTAGAACCCAAGACCTTGGATTTGCCATTTTATTTCTTTGAGGCTTTTTGGTTCTGTTTGTTTGGGTACTGGGGATTGAATCCTAAGGCCTCCCACATGCTGGCCAGTGCTCTGCCACCAAGCTACATCACCAGGTCTTTCTATTTTATTTTGAAGCATGGTCTCCTAAGGGTCTTGCTAAGCTGCCCAGACTGGCCTCACATTTGTGATCCTCCTGCCTCAGCCTCTCAAACTTGCTGAGGTTCCAGGCATGCACCACCCCACCTGGCTCAGATTTGCTATTTTAAAAGGATGCTTTGGCTACAGAACGAAAGTAGGAGTGGGTGGGGGATGACACAGGGGACAGACAAAGCAAGGAGACCACTGGGGAGTGGACATCCGAAATAAAACAACATCCAGGTAAAAAAGTGTAAATTAGAGGGGACTCCTGGGCTCACCCACAGGTGACCCCTGGATAGAGGTGCTGGGTGTCATTAATGGTTTCTATCAGGGGTCATGCAAGAGTTGTTTAAGAAGGAAGGAGAGAGTTTTGAAATAAAGGGCAAGATAGCGCACAGCAGAGAGGAGAGGACTGTGGATGGAATGAAGGGAGGCATAGAGGGAGCAGGCCTGGGCAGCCGTGGAGGCTGAGTATAAACTGGAGGAAGTCATGGTCAGATAAGGAGGGCCTGAGGGGGCAGCCAGCCCACAGTGGGGCGCCGTCAGTTGGAAACTGTTGTAGATTGTTACTCAGAAAAGAGATCATTGCAATGTCCACAGGAACCGGAAGGTGACCTGGACTAGGCCTGGAGTGAGGCTAAGGAGCAGTGCAGGCTCAGGGCTGGGGTATGGTTCAGTGGTAGAACGCGTGCTTAGCATGCAGGAGACGCTGGGTTCACCTCCCCCAATGCAAAGAGAGGCAAACTCCTCCAGGGGTGCTGGAAGCTGAGGTACAGCGTTCCATCCTCAGAATCCTGCCCCACAAATACAGCACCTTCAGGTCACGTTTTTTTTGTTGATTTTTTTTTCTTTTTTTTTTTTTTTTGGTACCAGGGATTGAACCTAGGGACGCTCAACGACTGAGCCACATCCCCAGCCCTTTTTAATGTTTTATTTAGAGACAGGATCGCACTGAGTTGCTTAGGGCCTTGCTAAGTTGCTGAGGCTGGCTTTGAACTTGCAATCCTCCTGCCTCAGCCTCCAGAGCCACTGGGAATATAGGCATGTGCCACCACACCCAGCAGGTCCCATTTTTGTCCACAGATTTGGGGCCCAGCTCCCACATTTCCTGTTCACCTTACTCCCTTGCTTCTTCCCTCCTGTGACCTCCCCGTCTTCTCTCTGGTTGTATCCAGTGCAGGGATTGGCCGGACAGGCTGCTTCATAGCCACCCGAATTGGCTGCCAACAGCTGAAGGCCCGAGGGGAAGTGGACATCCTGGGCATTGTGTGCCAACTGCGGCTAGACAGGTGGGTGCATGATAAACAAGACTAGTCATGCTGATGAGTGGCCGGGGCCCTTGGGCATCAGCACCACTAGACACATCACCATCAAGTACTCTTTCAAGAAAGGAAAGGATCCCTTTGGCTTAAGAGCTGTTTATTTTGCAGCTAACATCCAGGAATGAATCTCTATTTGGAATTTTAGCTTGGGGCCTGGAATTAAATATGCCACCCTATGGACTTCCCAGGACCCTTCAATTTCTCGTGCATTCCCCAGCTTCTTCCAAATGCCTATTTGGGAAAGCTTGAAAAAAAAAAAGATACAGTTGATTCTAGATATGAGGTGGCCATGGGCAAGTCCCGATGCTCACTGGATTTAGAGATTGAGGAGCAGTGTCCAAATTCCCACTTGCATCTTACTGAGCTGTCTCTAAATTTCTCTGGGCCCATTCCTTCATCCTCAGAGTTGCTATTGAAAGGAATGGGTTAATTTATATGAAAGTATTTTGGAAAGTGGGAACTACTATACAAATGTACAGAATTACTATTTTTACTTTTAGGATTATTAGAAAGGAAAACTTGTGGCTCAGGGATATTCCTGACCCAACCTGAGGAAATCAGAAGTTCGGTTTTGCTCAGGAGCTAAATGGATCAGAGAAGACCAAGTGTCAATATAGGGTACTTCCCCCTTAGTACCCAGCCTCCCTCTCTTGAGGGGAAGCTTGAGGGGCCTCAAGGAGGAATAGAAAGTAGTAAAATGAACACAGGGGAGGGAGAAGGACAGGACTTTCCCAGTAAGACCAGGGAGATGTTTGACCCCGGCCATTCACAGGCTCCTTGCCCTTCCTTCGATCATGGTCTGTTTCTTCTTGCAGAGGAGGAATGATCCAGACTGCGGAGCAATACCAGTTCCTGCACCACACTTTGGCCCTATATGCAGCCCAGCTGCCCCAGGAACCCAGCCCCTGACCCCTGCCACCCTCCACCAGCCCAGGTGCCAACCGCCCTTCAGGCCTGGGTTTGGGGAAGTGAGCTGTGGGATCTGGGGTACCCCCTGCATGAGAGTGGGAAGGGATGCCCCATTAGTGAGCACTTAGGATCCCAGGAAGCTGAATCAGCAAGAATGAGAGGCCAGGCTTCAGGTGCCCCCACTGGCCACTCCTCTGCCTCCCCAAGTGGCCCCAGATGGGTAATAGAGGAGCCTTCAAATCTCTGACCTTAAAGATAGGAGCTGGCACAGATGAGACACAAGCCCAGGTGGGTTGTTCTTCCCGAAAATGCTCTTTGTGAGCATTCAATCTTCTCATCTATGTCATGGACATAAAGTGCTCTGCTGTCATAAGGGAAGCAATCAGAGAAGTTCCCAGCTGCTGTTCCAGTGGTCTCTCCTTTTCCTGGGGCTGGCAAGAGGGTGATTCCAAGATAATCCTCCACCCAGGCCCTGCCTAAGTGCTGGCCAGATGAAGAGCTGGGAAAAGTCTGGTTCTGACCTCAGTCAGATTCTCAGCATCCTGGCAGGCTCCCTGCTCCACCCTACGCATCAGCGAGTGCGGGATGACCCCCCTCGAAGGTAAACAAAGACCCAGGTGACCCCTGTTTCCATGCATGTATCCTGAGAGGAGGCTACAGCGGTGACTAGGCATGTCAGTTGAAACCTCTGAAAGAGGCAATATGTGGGGACAAATCAGAGGTCAAGAAGATTGTCCCTGCCTACATAACTGCCCGCCACTTACCCATCTACTTTCTGTGGAGCCCCAACACTCTCTGCTTTGCTCTATGACCTCAGAAGATACCCTGGGTGCCCAGGAAGCACCAAAGAAAGAGGAGACAGGAGGAGACAAAGAACTCCATCTGATTCAAAAACCCCCACCCCCACCATATCCTCCATGCCCGGCATTTGCAGAGTACATCTGGAGAGCTTGGCTGTTTCCAGAACATTCTGAGTTTCAAGCACCCCGTACAGACAGATGGGCTCACACTGAATTGCAACCCCTCACATCTACCCCAGAGAACTAATCACCATTCATCTCAACATGATTTCCAGGGCAACCCAGATTTATCTCAGGGCTCAACTACAAAATCTCAGGAAGGTACCCAAACCCTGAGCCCTTCTTGACTCTGAGGATGATGGTAGTAAAGCACCATTCCTCTTGGCCCTCAACCCCGGAGGGTGGCTGACACCGTTCTCTGTGAAAACCCCAAGGAGCTGGTCCCAGAAAGCAGCTGGGCTCCCCTCTCATGACGTCTCTTTTAAAGGACATGCAGTGCTGCTGTTGAGGTTCATTTTCTTCATGCTTCTGCTTGGCCTTATGGAGAAGTCCCTCCATCCTTCATAGGCCTGGAGTGGGCTCACCAATACCTCCACCTTCCAGAGCCCTATGGGAGGCACCACCATCTGTGCCACCCAAGCAAGGTGGAGGGCTCTCAAGTGCCTGATCCTGCCCTGAGCTCAGACCCAGTCTGGAGGAAAGCAATGGCATAGCCCCCAAGGGCACCCTCCTGCACTGTGAGTCTAACCTTGCTCCAGAGCTCAGAGGGTACCAGCTCTGGAGAAGTAACCAAGTGGAAAAAATAAAGACTTGTTGGATGACTGACTGATTCCTTCTTTCCATCTTCTCAAGCCTCTGGGGCTCTTCATAGCAATACAGTTTAATCCACAGACCAGTTACAGGCTGCAGCAGTCTTTACCCCTGGGATGTTCATTTTTCTAGCCCTTCCAAGGATAGGGAAAAAAAGTGCAACTGTAAGTTAATTTAGGAAATGAGATCCAGGTATGCTATCTTAGGCTGCTATAGCAAAATAGCTCAAACTGGGTGGTCTATAAACAACAGAAATGGGGCTGAGGGACTGGAGTTGTGGCTCAACGGTAGAGTGCTTGCCTAGCATGTGCGAGGCACTGGGTTCGATCCTCAGCACTGCATAAAAAGAAATAAATAAAATAAAGTTATTGTGCCAACTACAATTAAAAAAAATTAAAAGAAAGAAAGAAAGAAAGAAACTGGGGCTGAAGATGTATCTCAGTGGTAGGTTGCTTGCTAGCACATACAAGGCCTTATAGTCAATCCCCAGCACCCACACAAGCACACACACAAACACAAATTGGAGAAATTTGTTTCTCACTGTTGTGAATAATAGGAAGTCCAAGATCAATGTGCTTATAGATTCAGTTTTTGGTTAGGACCCACATTCTGGCTCATAAGCAGAGCCTTCTGTTCCCTTGCCTGGTGGAAGGGGCATAGGCTCAGAGCTAGACTGCACGTGTTCATTCTCTCTCTCTCTCTCTCTCTCTCTCTTTCTCCTCTCCTCCCTCTCTCTCTCCTCTTTTATAAGGACACTAATCCTATCTAGTAGGGCTCCACCTCATGGCTTAATCCCCCTCCTAATACCATCATTGGAGGATTAGAATTTCGACATATTAATTTGGGGGAGACATATTCAGTCATTCAGACAAATCAAGTACATTAGGAGCTAAAGGCAGACTTATAAAGGGTACAGATTAGACAGACAGTGCTTAATAAACCAGAACATTATACTGATCTAAGGTGGGGATTCTTCCACTTTGGCAACTATTTGGTCAGTTGGGGTCATCTAACTCTTGGGTAGGTTTGATGGATATGATTGATGTTGAGAGTTTATTTGCCTTTGACTGAGAGAGTAGACTCCATAGGGGTGTTCTTGGAAATCAAATTCAAAGGAGCATCCAACAGAAGCTGGGAACTGCCCTGAAGCTGGGGACTAGTGAAGTACAGCTGGCTGGGTGAGCAGGCCCGGTGGTTAGTTCCTGCAAGAGAGGAGTGGAGGCGTCTCGGCGGTCCTACACCACCCACTATCAGTTCTGCTCTGGAAGAAAACTTTTTTACCAAAACAGCATATATTTTCCTTTGCCACAGATGTTCCTCACTGGGGATCCCCTGCCAGGGTTTTTGTCTGTTTCATTGTCGTCATGATACTAGCAATAATCAGCATCAAGTTCAAACATCTATTTCACTTTGGACCAGAGGCCCTCCTGAACAAGTAGCCTGGGTAAGTTGTGGTTAACAAAACAAGATGGAGTATTAAAAGACCCAAATGTGGCTGTTACTCTCCCCTGGGTACATTTTGGAGGAGGGGACTCAGTACTCAGGGATATTGAGAAGCAGGGATTAAGAAACAAAAAGCCTCCATTGCCTGCCTTTCCTAGAGATCTCATCTTTGTGTCCTGGAAAGTGGGCGACACCAGCACCCCTTTCTTCAAACTGGAGACGCTGTTGCTTAGCGGCCCCTCACCCGCATCAGGAACACCACCCTTGAAGAACGAAGGAGTGGCAATAAACGCGCAGTGGCCCAAGAAGAGAGAGAAAATAAAATTCGCCTCCTCTCCCGAGCGCCCGGCCTCGTCGCTGCCAGTCAACCCCTACCCTCGCAGCCCCGGCTTCCCCGCCCACCGCTCGCGGGTGTCGGCCCCTGGCTGCGGGCGAGGGAGGAGCGCGCGCTCGGGTGCGAGCAGGACGCTGCCCGGCCCGCGGGGGGGCGGCGGCGGCGGAGGAGGAGGAGGAGGAGGGCGCTGAAGCCACACCCATCGGCGAGCGGATCCGGGGGGAGCAAGTCGTCGGCCGCCGCGCTCGAGCCTCCGCCCGCACCGAGCAGCGGGACCCGGGCCGCACCGGGGAGGGGCCGCTCCGGGCCGCAGCGCGAGGGCAACGAGGGGCGGCGGGGACCCGGCACCGGGCGGGGCCGGCGGCAGCGACCATGATCGCTTTGTTCAATAAACTGCTGGACTGGTTCAAGGCCCTGTTCTGGAAGGAGGAGATGGAGCTCACGCTGGTCGGGCTGCAGTACTCGGGCAAGACCACCTTCGTCAACGTGATCGCGGTACGAGGGCGCGTGGCGCGGGGCCCGGGCGCGGGCCGAGGTCTGGCCTGTCTCCGCCTGCACTGCGCCCTGGGAAACCCAGGTCGCCGCCTGGCATGGCCGGGCACCGCCGGGTGTCGGGCGGGGGAGGAGCCGGCCCCGGGCGCTTGGGGCCTAGCACGGCCGGTGGGGGACCCGAGTGGCACGCGACCCGCTCTCCCTCCTGAGCCAGGATGGCACAGCTGGGGGCAGGGGAGGAGGCTCCAGGAGATGGGTGGCGCTCTGGGGTTGGCGGCACAGAGGGGGGTCTCCAGGCACCTGGGACCCGCTGCGGGCTGAGACAGGCCCCCTTGCAAGGGGGAATGACGGGGCGAAAGTGCCCGGGCCTTTCCGCCCCGCGCAAGGAGCGTCACGGGACAGGCGGTCTGAGCTGCTTGGGAGGCGGCCTGGGCCAACCCAGTCCCACCCTGAGGGCTCCATCCTATTTTGATAGATGATGCCCCCACCCCACCGCGTAGAGGGGAGGTAGTCCCCAGGGACAGAGGAGTCAGCTGAGGCCCTTGGCTCAGACCCAGACTCCTCCTTCCCGGAACCTCTCAGGGACTGTAGTGTCGCTGGGGGTCCAGAGAGAATGGCACCGTAAAGGGAGTTTGGAGTCTCCGCCTGGCTCAGAAGTTGCAAGAGGAGGTACTCTCTACCAGAGGATGAGTTGCAGGGGCGCTGCCCACTTGGGGACATGGCAGAGAGTGGCTCCGAGGGCATCGGGGAGTCAAAACTGAGGAGGGCGATTGCTATAGTCTTTCTGTGCCAGGGGAGTGGTGGAGAAGGAGTTAAAATCTCTCTCAAAAAAGGGAAGATGAGCTCCCTGGGTGTGTGAGCTGAGGCTGCAGTAATGGCTGCGGCCTGCATTTCCCAGCCAGGCAGGACTCGGGCTTGTGGGGCTCAGGAAACCTTGGGACAGACTCTAGGGTTGTCCAGGGAACTGGTCCTAGACCCAAAGATGGGGTTTCCAAGAACCCTGATGTGGCCAAATATTGATACAAAATGCTGAATAGATAGGTAGGCAAAGGATAGTGGCCCCAGCCTAGCACTGCCACCTGCCTAGTTGTTACCCAACCTTGCAGGACCTGAGTGTCCCTGACAGGTCTCAGCATCCCCCAGGGGAGCGTTGCAGGGTGGAGTTGTTACTACTACACTTGGTCTAAAACAGCAGGACAGTGGAAGGCTGGAGGGGCTGGTACTCACAGTCACATGATTGGGCACTGGCTTCCTACCCTATACATGCTCTGCAGGTGACCTCTGCCCCTTCCTCTACCCAGCATCTCCTGCTAAGGCAGAACGTCTAGTTTGTGGCTGAGGTTTGGGGCATGATGTTTTTCTGACATGCTTCTCGGCTCCTGTCTGCCTAAGCTCTAACTCCAGGGTCAGAGACTCCTTGGTTAGACTTGGCATTGACTTGGCTCTTGGGATCCCAGAGTAGCGGCACACCTGCACTCCTCCTTGGCTCTGCAGGCCTCAGTGGCTGGGCTTCTAGGCATTTAGTTCTGGGAGATGTCTCTGGAGTAAGACCAAGAGGAGAAACAAGTCACCTCCTGTCCCCAAGGAAATTCTCCTCATGGAGCATTATTAAAGCCATGCTCCTGGGCAGGAATCGACAAGTACTCAGGTGGGTTCAGTTTCTGGGTCTGGAGGCCCCCTCTGGATGAGCATCAATCCAGATGGGAGGCTATGACATAGGGCAGCAACAGAACCCAAGAATCCCAAATGCTGCTGCCAGGGTCAAGAGTTTCTGGGAAGTTCAGGGAAAGTTCCCTCTCTCTAGCCCAGGAAACTTTGGGACAGACTCTAGGGTTGTCCAGGGAACTGGTCCTAGACCCAAAGATGGGGTTTCCAAGAACCGTGATTTAGATATTAAGTTTATCACTTCAACTGGTACATCCTAAAAGAGCAGGACCCTGGGTCCCTTCCCTAAAAGAGGACTTCCAAGAAAAACCGCCCCTTGCAGACTGCAGTTGGAATTCCAGCATCTGGGTAACTCCAGTGTCCTCAGATCTACAACCAGCGATACCACATTAGACTTTCTGCTCACATTGTATATAATAAGTAGTGTCTTCTAGAAATGAAGGGCCAGGAATCCAGGGCTCTGTTCCCATGCCCACCACTGACTTTCTGCATCACCTCCCTGTGTTCCCCTGCCCTCTGTATCGGCATCTTCCCAGTGGGTTCTTTTCTTCACTGGATGAGGTCTGGCTTTAAGTAGGAAGTGAATTGAGTGTGTATAGCTGCTCAGCAGGTTAATAGGAATTTGAAAAGAAGTTAGGTAGAAAGTTTACAGTGCTTCTAAGAAACAAAACCTGATCTGAGTTCTGAAAAAATTGTGATGGTAGAAAAGTAGATGCTTTAGCCCAGGGAAACGGATAGTTTCCAATATTTAAAAGTGTAATAAAAGACTGTCCTATGGAAGAATGAATCTTGTAGTACTCACCAGGATTTAGGAACAAAAGGCTAGAAATTATAGGAAGATGGATTCTTGATGCATTATAAAGAACTTTCTAATAGTTAGGGTGGACCCAGGAGGGAATGGGCCAGAGGATGTCCAAGTCTGAGACAAGAGGTTGGGCTAAATAACTTAAGATTACTTCCGTCCTTACCTGAGGAACTTGGGAGGCATCAGCAGGGAAAGTAAGTCATACCCTGATCCAACTTAGCTCTGATGATGGCTGAACAGAAGAGACTCCTCGTGCTGGGGGGCCACCTGACT